GAGTGACCTGTCTTCAGCCGGACACTGGAGAGTGGGTGAGGCCCACGTGCAGCTTCTGAGCTCTTCGCTCCTTGACCAGGGCTCTGTGCTGGGTGGCATAAACATGTTTTGCCAGTGCCAGCCTGCGACATAAGAGCTGTGTTCTCCTCCAGCAGGCCTGGAAAGGCCTTCTAGAATGCAAACCATGTGCTGCATTTCTCAGTAGCCAGGTGACTACTTCGTCAGCAACCAGTGTGGATCGGGCCCTGGGCAGGGACAAAGGCTCTCTGTGTCCCAGTGCCTGCACCGCTTACCCACACTTTGTGCAGTGCTGCCCTACCCTCGGCCTCCTCTCCAGAACGCAGGTAGCAACTGCAGGCGAGTCTGACCTGCTTCATTTTATTGCATATTGGATTCCAGTAAGTGGTTGAGTTTAGAAGTCACCACAAATCTGTTTTTAGAAGTACTTTAGGAATACTCAACTGCTTGGGGAGATTGGAAGCGTGAGATGGCGTATTTCTGTCTTTGATCAGGGGCTGGGAAGCATGCTGAACTCCAGTAGAGCCTGGTGATAGTAATGGAGCCTGAGGGGCCTGCAGACTGCTCTCTGAGCACTCTCAGTGTTTGCTTAGGTTAAATTTCTTTTAGTTATAATTTGCACACAACAAAATACACAGCCTAAATGCACAGGATAGTGGTTTTGACACCATACCCCCCAACCACTACGATCAAGGTGGAAAGTGTCATCACCCACACTTCAAAGGGTGATGGCTTCCTGCCCCACTGATCTTTCTAGTTCTAGGTCAAATGTCATAGCTGTGGCTCTCTGTGGCCCCCCAGAGCTCTCAGTCCTACTCCTGGAGGCCTTTGGTGCTCTCTGATCTGCCCTAGTCTTGAGGGACCAAGAAGTACTGAGTAGCTCTAGGTGGAGGCCATCTCACTGTGGCCTTGGACACCAACTTGAGTGGGAACCTAGGCACTTGGCATACGCCAGGCAGGGCCATCATGCCCACTTCCAGGTGGCCACTGAGGTGGCATGGAGGTTCCTAGGTGGCACCCACGGGGCCATGGCACCTTCTGTGGCATCTGTGCCTGGCCTTGGCACCTGGCTGTTTGTCCAGCCTACCTCTGTACACAGGGCTCCTTTCTTGGCTCAGCCCGGTCTGTTGGGATTTTCTGGCTGCAGCTTCTTATGCCCTACAAATGGGGTGGGGCACCATGAAGGCCACATCTGCACTGTTATATGTTTTGAAGATGTCAACACAGTTGCCTTTAAAGTGATGCATGAAAAGGTAGTGATTTCTGCTATGGCCAAAGAATAAAAAACCTATGAAAGGTTGCCAAGGCCACGTTCGTAGGGCTGGCGTGGCGTCAGGACCACAAAGTGCCAATTGTGTTCCTAGCCCCAGGAGAGTCTGAGCTGGGGCAGGTATGGTGGTGAGGGGTCCTCGCCTCTGATTTCAAAGGTGCCGGCCTTTCAGCAGCCTGCGTTGTGGCTAATGTAAGGAAGGGGCTTCGTCCGTCACTTTCCGGGGGGTTCAGAGGGGCTGGCGAGGGCCGGCTCCAGCAGGAAAACCTGGAGTTGACTATAAAGAAACTACCAAACCCCAGAAGGAGAGCATCAAAGGGCGCACAGGATGCGGCGCAGCCCTGGCTGGCACGGCGCCTGAGCCGCATGGGACCCTGACCTCTGAGCTGCTCCTACTCACAGGCCAGCCCCAAGTTCAGAGTTCACGGCATTTTGTTTTTTCACCTGTTTCCTACAGTTCTAAGAAACTTCTGAAGAGTTAATGTGTAACTATATCAGACACTCAGCCTTTCTCCAGGGAAAACAGCCTTATTTAGTGGAGGGAGGGGCAGGCACAGAAGGTTTCTGGAAGATGGAGAGCCCTCCTAGGGTCAGCATCTGCAGTCACTTTCTCCCTTGGCCACCTCCACACTTGCTCCAGGTGATGTCCAGTGGGAGGATGAGGGCAGCAGGTGCCCCCTTGTCAGCTACACCGGAGTGGCCTAACAGTGATCACCTTTGTCCGGGGAGATAGCTCAGTAGAATAAGCGCTTGCCTGGTAAGCGCAGGGTCCTGAGTTCAATCCCTGGTATCACAAAAAAAAAAAAAAAAAAAAAAAGTGTTCACTGTGCCCTTCCTGAGCTTGAGGAGGGGGCAGGAGAGGCCCTGCTGGGGCCGACTCTGATGCAAGATGATGAATGGTGAAAGCCGAGTTCTCCGGTAGGCTCTTCTGTGGACTGGGGATTTCTGGTTCTGGGAATTTCTCCTCTGGCCAGGAGTGGCAGAGCTGGATCTCAAGGGGGCCTGGGCTCCATGGCTCCTCCATGAGGTCACTTTACTTTTTCTTACCAGTACAGTCTTAATCTGGTCTGGCACCTGGTCATTTACTAGTAGCTGATTTCTTACAGAGAGAAGCTTGAAGTGATGACATATGGATTTTACTAGTATTTCCTTTTGTCATTAAATTTTAATACAAACAAGAGTAAGCCATTCTGGGAAGGGTTAACCCTTTTTAAAGTTTGTTTTTATGTTGCATATTGATCCTTTTGCAAACTGATCTAGAATTAAACCTTATACCCTTTCATTTGGTTCATCTGGAGTGTGTGTGTGTGTGTGTGTGTGTGTGTGTGTGTGTAAACAGGGACTGAGCATATGGAATACTAGTGATCCGTAAACTTTAAGTCCTGCCTGTTATACTCTTGCCACCAGGTGGCTAGGAAAAAATTAACCAGGACAAATGCAACAATTATGCAAAAGACTAGTAATCACTTTCAATTTCTGCTTCAGTGATGAAATATGAAACTGGAGATGGACTGTGCTTCCAGAAAGAAACCGCTGAGTAAGCAACGGGCATTTCAAGCAGTGCTGGGCCCGAGGGACATTTGCATCAGTGTTTTTGTTTTTTTAAAGACAATGTTAAACTAGTGAGACTTTGCTGACCTGAAACTTTTGGAGACTCTCTGGGCCTGTCCCCCTCCAGGTGGACCCCGGATGTTCATATTGACCTTCTGGGTGGGGACAGAGGCTCAGCTTTGGGGTCCTTAGTAGCGGGTCCCTCACCACCGGCCCTGCAGCTGACCTGGCACTTGCTCTCACCGTGTTCTTGGGGTCTGTAGAGACCTTGCTTACGTTCACTTGCAACGGGAACTCTACACTGGGAGCACACCTCTCCAAACTGAGCGTTACTGAATGTTAGTGTCTCGTGCCTCTTTGATTCTGTCCATTGGGGTGATGATATTCAATTTTCGACTCATTTTCACCCAGTACATCTGTTAGAGTAAGGACAGCAGCACAAGGCCCAGACTGTGCCATGGACCTGAAGCCCACCTATTTCCTGGCGCTGTGTCACATGGCACTTGCCTCTTGTGTGCATTCTGGGTCACCTTTGGTCCTGTCACTTATTCACTCTGACAAGTAACCCCTTGGTTGTACACCATTTTATTCAAACTCGCTTTTCTGATTCAAAGTGAACATGAGTGCCTTAATCCTCTAATGGGAATTAATTGCTTGTTTCAGTGCTTAACTCTGATCCTTTCTCAATCCCTGCAGGGACAGGTTGCTTCCTAAAGGATTGGACTTTGTTGCTCAAAACGCAATCAGAAAAGGTAATGATGTTTTTCTTAAGAAAGAAGCCAAGGGCTGGGATATAGCTCAGCAGCATAAGTGACTACCTGGCAAGCACAAGGTCAGGAGTTTGATCTCCAGTACCTAAAAAACAGAAAATAAAGAAAAAAAGAAAGAGGGCCGAGGATATAGCTCATTGGTATTAGTGCCTGCCTGTCAAGCATAAGGACTCAAATTTGATCCCTGCTACCAGAAAAAAAAAAAAAAAATTTGAG